ATGACAATTTCACCCAGTTTACTGATGAAGTTCCATATGATATGGAGGGTAATAGTAATGAGAATCCAGACTTCATTTTGGAATGTGGACATAGTTCACAACCAGAACAAAGTGCTAATGATAATGAAAATAATCTTGGCAAAATATAATGCTTTTATAATTTAAAGTACTGTTTTTATTATTTATCCCAAACGATTTATGAATAAGAACAAATAATTTGTGTGATAAAAGTTCTACTCAGTTTCTAATATTATAAAAGTATTATATAAATGTAAATAAACACATAGATTTGCAAACAATCTTTTAATAAAAATATATGAGCAGTCTGGGAGATTGCACCATACCAGTTAAGGGTTAATATATTCAAACATAATGTACAAGAACACTTAAATGAATGGCCTGAGAGCATTAGGACTCAGAAAAAATAACACAGCAAAAGGTTAATATTTTTCATCAATCTAATATGTAGTTCTTTTACAGTGTAAAATGATCATTATTTTTAAAACACTAGACATAATTACAGTGGTTAAAGGCTTGGGAATAATCTGTGGTAAATCCCTAAGAAGTAGCTGGTTGATAAGAATCAGTATAGGAACTTATGTTCTTTATGCCTAATCATGAAGGTCATTGATGCACTGTCATCCAAGGTCACTGCTGTGCAACAAAGATCCAACATTAACCCGGACAACGGACCATGGTATCCCCTGTTGTATAACAATCTCTCATAACGTGGCTTACATACCTTCTATGAAAAATGTGACAGACATGGACAGGCCCATAAGGCAGTCTTTGCTCATGCTAAAGTGCAAAGAACACCTAAAATTTAATTATGCTACTTAGGTAACACTCGGACTGAAGACAGTGTCAGACAGAAATTAGAATATCAAGACAAAAGTTAATCATAAACAGTTCTTATGAACTTCAGATAAAGACTTGCTGTGTGCATGCCAATAGTTCAATTCCAAAACACATTCTACACTCATTAATATGTATCATCCATAAAGTGTTTTGATTCTGATACACTATTCTAAGACTGTTAGATCTGGAATTAAAACACTCACACAAATAATTTCTCAGAACTGGGAAATAATAAAGAAACCTGTCTCAGAAAGAAAATTTTTAATTGAATATCTTCTAATAGGATTCATTGGTGTTTTCAATACTGTATTTTCATCTTAGTTGTCTTGTAATGAAATCTGGATAAAAATAGAAGTAAGCTAATAATGCACATTAGATCTTACTGCACAGAGAATTAACATTGTGTTCCAATGGAAGTTGTAGAATTTTGTTCTAATTGTGCTAATATAAAGTAACATGCCTTAATATACCAGGGTTGGTTATAAGGGCTTACACAACTTATTAACAGCACTGTAAACTGAATTTAAAATTAAAAGAAGTTTTGTTCCTCCCACCTCACAGAACTGTGTAGTACATGTTGCAAGATGATATTTCCAAGCAATAAATCTCTAATCTGGGAATTTACAATCTGTGTATCTACAACAAATAAGAGGCACAGACCAGACTCTCCTTTGCCATCACAACAAAAATTATGAATTAAAGCACAGCATTCTGCATATGTGTGTGTATATATACATAGTCTGCATGAACCTTTGAAACACTAGAGATGCATGAAGACAAAGGGCGGTTTAGCAAAAATGTTAATTTATGTTATTTCTATAACAAACATACTGTACTATAAAATGTTATATTTCAAGTAGACTAATAGACTTCTTTCTAACAGATGGAGTCCTTAACTTAATTTAACTTCATAACATTCCCGAGTTGGAATGTTTCATTTAGCTGCCACGATACTTTCTTCCAGCACATTCAGTTGATTGTCATGGGAGTCAAATACATGAAAGAATGGCTGTTAGGATCTGTGGAATAAAGTTACATCTAGTGCAAGAAGCCTGGAACATGGCTGGCCTGCTGGAAGTACTACAACCAAATAGTATCCTCCTTTTGTGAAGTAAATTAGGGAAAAACATTAAATTAAAAGAAGTTAGAAGAATTGATAGTGCCAATTTAAAGTAACCACTTAAAGAGTATGAAAAATCATGCATATATAGTCACACTTAAATAAATAAGAACAAAGTGAATGTTTCATAATTGATAGAAACATTGTTGAATTTGGTTCAGGTTGAAATTAAACATGTCAAAACATTATTTAATTAAAATTACATCAACTTTTTTAAAGACCAGAAAAATCCACAGAAGACACAACCACTTTCAAGCTTAGTTCAGTCTGTTAGTTACTTTTGACCAGATCACACAATTCTAGAGAAATATCCAGACAAAGCTACTGGAAAAAAAGGGGAAAAATAACAATAGTAGGCATGAAGACATTCACTGAACAGGCAAGATATTGCATATGGGAAAAGCAAGCATTCTGCAGAGAAATTGTAAAATAACAGATTTTTTGTTAAAACTCATCAACATTCTGTTACTGTATTTATGTTTCATTTTACTCCAGGCTCCTTTCATTGTAACAAAATAAAAATTTAACAGCAATCCAAGTTTCTTGAGGTATGTCAAACTGTACATACCACAGTCCCTAAAATTAATTCCATTATCAATATCAGCAATGGAAAGTGGTTCACAAAGACAACTAAACAAGACATCAAGAATTTCAATATCATGCATCAACACGGGGTACGATCTTCAGCTTAAAGAAAAAACATTCTTGGTAGTAATACAAAACAACTGGGCTAATAGTATTAGCCCTCTGCTTCACTCACCAAACCCCATCCCCCCCTCCCCAAAAAATCTGTGTTCACATCCATACTGCATTACCAGAATGCCAAAGAAACTAACCTGCAAATTCAGTATTAATATTATTTTTAATATGCAGCCAACAAATATTAAGCAAAACATGAATATAAAATACTTCGTGAAACTGAGTTTATCACAGTGGTAAAGACATTGACGTAGGTCTTCTGGATTGTAATGCCACATGGGCATGGGGCAGATGCCTACATTTTAGAGGAACACACAGCCTCCACCTTCAATAATGAAGACCAAAGGTGGTATGTTTCTACAAAACATTGATATCTACCTAGAAGTCCTTATGGTGTCCCAACTGAAAACACCAACATCAACAAGAAAATACTTTAATTCTTAATTATAAGCTCATGCCATTTTTATGGCAATATGGAACAGCTGCTGTAATGATAGACAAACTAAAACATGAGGTCAGTCTACTGAATTCATTATTATAATTCTGTGAACATGTTAATTTGTTTGGTCCCAACTTATAATAAATAAATATGTTGAAGGTGAGTGGATATAAATAATAGGTACCGGCAAATAAAACAGTAAACTACAATTCAGTCACTGAAAACATGTTAACATCATTACACTCACTATCAAGTACATCCTCTTATTATTAGTTCTTAAAAATTAATGTTTAGTATTCAATGTATGTTCTTATACAATGCATTTTTAATTAACTGTAGGTGTATAACTTTCATGTCAAGTTATATTTATATGCTATTAAGTGATCATGTAATGATATATGATGCACAACTAAATTTTCTGTACTTTCATAATTACAGGGCTGCATCATGAGGCAAACTATTGTGTTGCAGATGATCAAGAACGGACCCACATCTTGCACCAACAGATATATGTAATTTTCATAGGATACACCAGTATCACGGAATATGTGAGATAATAAACAGTCAATGAACATCAAGACAAGGTAAGAAAGAGGCCACGATGAATTTTGTATAGGGACAGCATTTCCCATGCTTATATATGAACATGAAACTCAGGCTACGCAGAACAAAAAAATGTTCATAAAATTGAAGATCAGGCCTATGGAAGAAGTGAAATATTAATTTAGTAAATTGTAACATAGATAAACACAGAATACCGACCTTAACAGAACAAGGAATAAGACTTAAAGAATTTACCCTTTTGTTTAAAACAAAGGCAGACACATAGGGAGGTCTTTTAAAATATCAATCTTTGAGTGCAATCCATGAAGGACAGAAGAAAACTGGACATTAGTTTCACAAAATAGATGAAGACACAATAAAACCGATTGTACTATGCCATAGTGAAAACACTTCGAATTAACAGAATACGAACTACAAAGACCTTATATCAGTGGGTGATCATTCTGAAAGTAAAATACAGAAACTATAAATAAAGCTTGTGGAGTATGACTAATTTCAGTTCATGCACTACATTCACTTTACTGCGAGAATTTGGTATGAAATCGTTATATAATCAACATTCTCCACAAGATCACCTCATGACAAAGCCATCTCCATACTTTTATATCCTTTCTTCTTGCATCTCTGTCCATCGTCTCCTAAATCTGTTTTGCACATCTTCACCACCTGACTGGTCTCTTAATATCTTCAATGGTTATCTGATCACTGCCTTCACCTGCTGCTACATCCTCAATTTCACCAGGTTTACTTTTGTACTGTTTATATTGGCATGCCTTGCTGGGGATCTGGTCACTGCAGCACTAAATCAATAAATCCAAACATATTTGGATTCAAATTCAAAAACTGGGCAAGTTTCATCCTCTTTTAACTTTATTATACAAAAGTATGGAATTTTAACCTCCCTACTGCAGAGCTGGACTGTATATATATTCCAAAATACAGTCAATAAAGGTTAATTTACTGGGACCATTAGATAACTTAATTAAAAATAAGATTCTGTGTTACAGCACACAGAAATGTTCAAAGTGAAACATGCTTTAAATCAGCATGATAATGAAGCTTATGCAGACTCAGTCTTGAAACTTCAAACATACATAATGACAAACAAAAGAAGTGAATTATCTGAAATGGCCATGAAATTTACATTTATTACAACTAAATCAAAACTATCCCCAAGACACATTATGGTGTAAAATGCTCTTTTAGCACTTTTAAATGAGTTTTCAGCACTTACAACAATCTCTGGTACTGTGAACATTCCAGAAGTCTCAGAATTATTTATGAAACTAAGAAATGGGTTAAGCAGTTGGAAATGGTAACAGAATGAGCTCAAGACCATCTATCACCTGGTCTACATGTATCTATGTGATAAGATGGCACAGTGCACTTCTCATAAAAGACATTTCAGATCAAAGTAATGCACAATTCATAAGATTTACTTGCCAAGGTAAACAACTGTTACCTTACTAATTTTTTTACACAAGTGGATGTTTAATCACATGGACCTATCTCTGGTAGCAGAACAAAAATTATCAACACTGCTAATACCAAGACCTGCCAATCTCATCCCCATCTCTGTCTTCCAAGAGATTTCCCAAACAAAAAATTTCTGTGCACAAACCTTATCTTCTTCAACCTATCAACATGTCCAAGTCATCAGAGTGCCCTAAATCAAGCTGTCCTGACAATCAATTCATATAAACCTTCAAAGAAAACTTGTCATTATTACATTATAATGATAAAGTTTTTAATATTAGGGGTTAAAATTAAAACTAACAAAACATGTTTGCTGAAGCAGTGTTCTGTTCACATGCACAAAGCTGGGCAAAGCTCAAGAGGATTATGTAGTGGGCTAACAGCTGTCCAGATAGGCCTGTTTACTGCTTAAAAATCTCTACAATATGCTCCAGTTTTGAATGACAGAAAGAAACAAATACTGCAAAAACTGTTTCCTTACTGGCAAGAGTTTGTAATGGGAAGTGGTCATTAGATTGTCCTACTACTGAGGAATTCCCTGTTAGTATGCAACCTGAAGGTTCATAACCATAATCACACATCCCACTACAGAATCCAGTCTACAAAAGTTCAAATCAGTTTACATCATAATAACTTATTTTCTTAAGGTCTACTTCAGTAATATCTTCTATCTATGCATTTCTAGAATGTGTGCATGACAAAATGCCCACTTCATGCCCATCTTCTTGATTCAGCCAGCCTAGAAATTAGTGAGTAGTGTACGAAGCATAAGCATGTAGTTCATCTCTCTTCTGACCACCATTTTCCTCACAACATTGTTTTATGTGTCTTCAATTTTATTCTTGTGAAGACCAAGTTTAGCTACCAAATAAAACTATGTGACACATGGCAGTTTCAAAAGCTTTAATCTTCAGTTTTTTAAGGAATCGATAACAGCCTGAATTTCGTGATAGTTTCAAAAATTTACTAGAAACTGTATCATTATAATGCTGTCCTGGGTTTGGGTTAAGAAATTGTTTACTTTTACAGTTTTGTTATCAACTGTTTTTAAGCAAAGTTGTGTTAGGATTTGTGATGTTCATGCTTTAACCTAATAAAGTATGGCAGCAGTCTATAATCTGCTGAAGTACAGAACCACATATTCCAATTTTAAGTAATGTCTGTTAAACACAGAAGATCTCAGTAATGTCTGCATGACAAAATTTGTTTTTGTTCACTAATGTAGGAGCTAAGCTAGCGAATAAAATTAAGGATACACTTTTCTATCATGTTATTAATAGCATCAGCTAATACGATATTATGGAGGCATGTACATAACACAATTTTAATCTCAAACTGCAAATGAAAGTATTCCATTCTGTGAAGGAGTTTGTGCCTAGATGTGGGAAAGTCACTCCTTTGGCAATTATTTATGTTTGAACAATAGCTTGATTCACTCCAGTTCTGCAATGGGCAGTCCAACTACAAAAATTGTACATCAAAATTAGAATGCCACACAAAAGAGCCTTGAGACAAGGTTGGACAGTGGAGACAAGAGTGAAAATATTTTAACTATCATAGATACAAACTATTTACAGATATTTTAGGCCATTTTCAAAGTCAATATCATATTATATATATATATATATATATATATAGGAAGTATTTATACAAAAGATGATGATACTGAAATACTGCATACACAAAGAGATCCTAGATATAACCTCAACACCTTATTAATTAATAACATTCTACTATGTATATAACAAATAGTATTTAGTAAATAACAAAAAATTCCACATCCACAAAGCATTGTCATTTAAACATTTGTGTGATTTCTATGTGTAATATGTCTCTAGTACAAGTTTTCTAAATACTACTAATGATACTATTTATCATGAATCTCATATCAACTGTTATTAAAGAGAGCAGCACATGAGTCCATTGAACAATTTTCTAGAATTCTTCCTGATGCGAGTAATTTCAAAAGCCATGGCACCATTTCATGCTCCCTACAATCCCAACTTATGCTTCCATTATGTCACATAAGTTCTAATAACAAGCACTCATTTGCCTATTATATAGGCCAACATTTCAGCTGTTTTCACCTCATACTGTGTGGAGTTCATAGGTTTACTTTTATTATAAATTAGTTTGCACTCAGATGTGAATGATGTTTCAATCACCTTATATTTCTCCAAAAAGTTATTCTCCACTTAAAATGTATGTACATATGTACACATGTGTATATGTGTGTACATGCATGCATATACATACGTATGTAATTCATTAGGTATAGCAACCTTTTCTTTATTGCAAGTTAATACATGCCATATTTCATTTACTTGACAGCAGACAGACATACAAAATAAATTTTGGGAGTGGTAAGTGTAGAGATAATCATTTAACTTATATATTTCAAAAGGAAAGTATGACAAAATGCAAAATCTTAGTGAATGATAAAGTGGAATGCTATCACATGATATAAAATAACATAAATGCATGCAGTGTCTTGCAAGTGTCAATATCAAAAACCAACAAAACATGTAGCTCTTTAAACATGCATATTTTTACTTAATGTAATGCACACTATGTAATGACAGGATCCTCATATTTCTGAACCCACCTCATGTGTGAGAAATGTTCACGATAAAATTCTCAAATGAGTTCCATAAACCTAAAATATTGCAACATTATAATAAAGATATTACAGTTAACCCTTACTGTATGGGAATTGGAAATTTAAACTCCACATCCAACCAGATATTAAATCTGAGGGTAACAGTTTAACAGTAAGCTAGTATACACACAGCCAGCTGGACCAACAAAAATCCATGTCATATGGCAAACAGAGGTTAATTAAATAATTTCATTTCAAAAAGTAACATTCCAAAATGCATACAACAATTTAAATACCAATATTAAATGTAACTTCTGATGAACCATCTGCATTAGTGATGAGTCTACTTTAAGGAACTTAAAATGGTGAAGACTTCAAACATACAAAATACATGGAATATTTTAGTATCCTGTTTCATTCAAACACTGCTACTGTCAAAGTACATCAAGTTCATATGGACCACTATGCACTGCTTTCAGTAGCATCTGATTTAATATTTTGGCACATCTACACAAAATTCTGATGTGTGGGTAGGAGGATAAAACCTACATTGAGAAGTAAATATCAATCTAAGAGAATACATAATTTATTACTAATGAAGATATGATTAAATATATGTCCTCATTCTGAACAAGAGAAGAAACTGTTATATATTATATGAGAAAATACACTTTGGAACAAAAAGAAGCTAAGATATCATATATCCCAATCATAAAGATAAAAGATGATACTGATGACATCGAGCGATAATACTGGTTTAGCTAGAGGACAGTGAAATATCATCTCAACTAGTCTACGAGTTCACTGCTAAGCAGCTGGGCACAACAGAAAAATCTACAGGATACTGCTACTCTTATTCACACATAAAGACTTCAAGAGCAGTTTACATACCATATGCAACTCTCCTTCTGCTCTGTAAAATCAAATCCTCTCCATATAATCACATACTATATATGATCTACTGGTATGCAGCACTGGTACATTACAACATGAACAGAATATGTATAAATCACAGCAAATGAATTCTCCTTCTCAGAGTTACTAACCAGAGTAATGACATGATAGAATTAATGGTAATGAGAAGATGAACTTTTTTTATAAACAGATTTCTCATATCTTCTGGGAGGCACAAAGTTTTAAAAATAACAAGAAAATAGAGATAAATTTTAAGATGTGAAGTTCTTACGGAGAGAGAGGAAAATGAGGGCACTTAATTGGCTACACAATCGATTACGCCTCACTGAAATAGTAGTTGCCCACATACTGCAAGCACAGAAGCAGCAGTCTCAGAGAAAAGTACACATGATACAAGTCCATCACCTTAACAATCACAGTCCTGTCTTCCAGCAGTAGACACAGCAACTCTTTAGCAGCAAACCATGGGAGGCTCCCATACTTGAATCACCACTGATAACAATGCCAGCTGTCTCTTCTCTGCATCACACTATAAACAGTGCCTTAACTAAAGAAACAAATACTTTTGGGCTTATGTGTTACACTCATTTATTTAAGAGAGAGACATAATTAAAGTGTTCTCTAATAATACTATCATCTTGCTACTGGTCCAGAATAAACTTGTGGTAAAAGAAATGTAACAATTATATGGAAGTATGTCAGAATGTCTGACCAGCTACCTCAAAAAACACAAACCTTCAGAAATTTCAGTATAAACCTGTACCCTGCAATAGGTCAGAATATGCTGAGAGGAACGCATGGACATCAATGTCCCTTCACAAGCAAATCCTTAAAAGACACAACATCTTCATGATGAACTGATGCAATAATACGTGGAAATGCCCTGAAACAACTACTTCTAGATCAGGCTTCAGTATACGTGCATGCAATAAAACTTGCACAAGCTTGCTCAATTTAATTTCCTAAATCTCAGCAACACCTAAACAATCATATCTTTTTTTGTCATTAACTGAAGTAAAGCTGTCCCACTAAACATCATGTAGGCGCTTGAGGGGAGGGAAGGTATAGCTCTTGCTCAATCTTTTTGTCATTACCAATTTTATTTTTGTGTAAAACTGGTGTATATATAGCAACCTTTTGATGTACACCTTTTCATGAATTTTAAGAGTTTGTAAAATTCCATCATTATCCACGTGACATTTATTACCAGGTAAACCAGCTTGATAACTTTTCTGTTGGAACACCTGTAATTTAGTATACTAAAAAAAATGATTCCTCACAATTATAAAAAAGTCATGGCATTGAAATTACAAAAGGATATTTTTTTATTTTGATACAGTTAAAGTAATAAGATTCTGATTTCTAATAATGATAACATGTTTACAATAATATTCATTATTTGTAAAATATGAAATCATTATAATTTAAAAATTCTTTACTTAACCGGGTCTCATAATATTGTAAGTTCTGCATGCAAGGGGAGCTCTCTAAGGGGGGAATATATACCAGCAAGTTCCTAACAGCCAGCCTGGCAACATCTTCATCTCGTGAAATCCTGGGTCACATTTCATGATTACAACAAAGGTTTATATACATTTGCAATAACAGACAGTCTTACACAATCTCTAATATCATCAATTCTTGCACATTCCTGCAAAAGAGATTAATTTAAACATTAAATCATACACTGATCAACTTTTTGGCAAAAATTTCTTCATGATCAACCTCCACCCAAAATCCTGTAGCATTTTATGCTGAAGAAACAATTATATATTTTTGGGAAAAACTGCTCAAATCCCACTGTGGACAAACATCATGTTTGTAACCTCACTTAACATTCATCCAGATGACACAAGACCTTAGCTAATTATTTTCAGAAGCAGGATGATACTGATTAGATATGAAAGAATCCTGGTTGAAGGGCAGTGAACTGAGAAGAGTCTCAAATGCCTCTCACTGTCACCCCACAACTGACATGTGGCAACACAACATTCAGTTTTCTCTTTCATTTTTTTCTTTATGGACTCAGCACCAGGAAAAGTGAATGTCAACACACTGCAGCTGACAAGGAACAAATGTAGCATTACACAACACAAAAATCCTGTCTAGCTTACTGACATATAATCTAATGTCTCACACATTCTTACCCAGAAGACAGCTACACATGCTGAACAAACTCTGGATTGAGGAAGGAGAAACCCATGAACTCTGTCTGGTCCAGGTTCATCATGAACAATTTATCTGTGGGAGTAAGATCTGTCTTCTCAGATGTGAACTGTTTGTCAAAGTTGCTCACATCCTTGCGATGTTTCTGAAATAAAAGAATAAAATCTCCATGGTACAGAGTGTTTTAAAATTAATGTGGGATGCACAAATACTGTGTTGATGAAGATATTAAAAATATATAATAACATTTATGAACACAATTTTTTCGTACTGTAAAACACCAACATGGCAACCACATAGAATCCGTATTTAGCTTTAAGTGGTGCTAATATTACTCATCCTGTCACACTGATATTGGTGATTACAGAATATTAAAATTACAGAAGTAGTATTACCTCTAATTAAATTATGTGAATTATCAAGTTTCATGAAGCTGCATCCAGAAGTTGAAAAGTTATTATGGAGGGACAGACACATAAGACATGGTATCATAAGACCACAATATACAGGGCTAGTCTCAATGATGTTCCCAATTTGAAGGACATGCTATTCATGTGTAATGAAATTCAGATGCACAAAATTAATTCTGATGGAAAGAGAAACTCTCCAAGTTTTGTTTCAGTACATCACAGGTGTTCAATGTGAGCCCCCTTGGTAACTCGGCACACATCCAGCCCGTAGTCGAGTTCCTCCCAAACACGTTGCAGCTCCCCTGTCTTCGATGGCAGCAATTTTCTCTCATATCGCCCCTGGCGGCGAACAGTGTTACTACGCAGCCATGAAGTATGCCAACATAAACTTGGAGAGTTTCTCTTTCCATCGGTACCAATTTTGTGCATCTGAATTTCATTAAACGTGAGTAACATGTGTTTCAAATCTGGAACATCATTTAGACTAGTCCTGTATTATACAATAAGCCAAGTGGGCTAATAATCGTAAAACATTACCATACTCTGAAAATGATTATCAAGTCACATTTTTTAAGTATTTCAATCCCCACATTCTCTGGGGGTTTAAGAACTAATATTTATTATTCTCAGCAAAACTATTTCAGCTCTATAAAAGTACATACAGGTGAACCAATTTTATTTTAACACTCAAAATAACATGTTTTTAAATCTCACAATTTTGGGCTTGAATGGTGGCTGAACCTCTCTATTCTCTATTTTCTCCCAGTCGATCCGCCGGAAAAAAGCGTGGCCTCGAACATCCTCTTCACCTCGGGGACCACATCCTAGTCGTTTGGTTGGATTCTTTGTTAGGAACTGCAACATGTCAGAGCAGCATTACACACACTGCAAAACGTGACTCACTCGAATGGATGAATGGGTAAATAAAACACTTCCTTTATTTCCCATCTTCATGTCATCTCAAGAGAGAGACAGTGACATTTCTCCAAACCATGTGAATGCAAAACACTTTCCCACCACCTACTCCATAACCACATTTGGTCACCAGAACCTTCTTCAGCATGTGGTCACTTCCACTCCGTACCAATCTCATGACCTCTTTTCCTAATCACATGTTCACTCCTGATTGGATAGAGCCCGCTCTCTTCTTCTAATCATGTCCTTAGTCTGGAAGAAGTTTACTGATGTTTCAGAGGCACTTGTTGCCTCCAACATCAGGGTAATCATTAGTAAACTTTTACTAGACTACAGGGTACTGCAACCCAGAATACAGACATTTTTGCTGTTCTGAGAATCTGAAATCCTGCTGAGGAATGTATAGTTTTCCTTTTATTTCACAAAGCATGCATCATGACTTGAATTAAAAGTTTTAGATTTTCATAAGATGTATTTTGCATCATGCATCAATAATCTGCATGAGCTATTTTTTATAACATTTACCTGTAATACAATGGCTACACTGAATCAGTATGAATAAAAATTTGAGTAACAATTTTTGTTGTCGACACTGAATCCTTCAGTTACTTTAAAATGCCAAAAGTGAAGTGTTCTGAAAGTGTGAAGTTACGAGGTTTCGTTAAAGATTTTTGGAGAGGAATATTTTAGTTCTGATGGAATAATTCTGTTCTGTAAACTTTGTGAAGTTAAATTTACAATTGGCAAGGGATTTAATGTGCAACAACATTGTGATACGGAAAAACATAAAAATAAATTGAGCCGACAAACCAGTCATCAAAGCAAGCAACGACTTCTTTTCAATAACACTGCAACACCTTCACCATCAAACAAGACATCAGAATTTTTGAAGGATCTGTGTGAAATGATGGCGTCTGCCAACTGAACAAAGTGAACAATGAGCAGTTCAAATTTTTTTGGATAAATACATGACTCATTTAATTCCAGACTACGAAAAAACTATGTGCCTGCCTGTTAAGTTGTTATTGGCACGCTCTTTGCTGGCCGCCCTGGTGACTTCTTCCTTCTTGATACAGTAAACCACACCTCTATAGATGTAATTTTCGTTAACGCCATGAAACATTTGTGATGTCTCAAGTTACAAGACCATATTGTGTGACAATCTAAGAAGATTTTCATTTGAGACCTTGAAAATGCACATCGTTATATATTGTAATGCTGCCAAGAAAGGAGAGTGAAGAAAAGTACTTAATATTTTGAATTTTGTTTATTTATTTATTTGTAATTAATGAATTTGAAATGCATGAGGGGCTCTTTCTTAAAATTTATCTTATTTTTATTGGAGCATGTATTCTCAACATCTGATGCTGATCCAAAGCAAGGCATTAACAACTTAAAGCAACAGAGGCTTTTGATTAAATTGCTAGGAAATCAAGTAATGTAATAGTTTTACATGCATATGTACATAAGTAATATGACTGAAATACAAAACGCTTTTTTTAAATTTAGCAAATATTTTTTGATAACAAATTAGGTCATATTTTGCTTTTGTTGGGTCATATTTCGCTATTTTTGGGGCATATTTGCACGCATATTTCTCGGTTTTTTAGGTCTTGGAACATCCGAATCCTAGGCATGAGATTCTACTACTCAAAGCAACAACTCACTCCTTTGCAAGACTCCTTAGCTTCCTTGGACAGGCTCTTTGGGTATGAAACATTATGATCTGTTATTGCTGCAAACAGCTCTTCTTCATCTTCACCGTCAAACGGTGGCTGACCCACCAGCATTTCATACAGCAGTACTCCATATGCCCACCAGTCAACAGATTTGCCATATGGCTGGTACAGAATTATCTGAAATTATAATAAAGAAAGTTTGGAATTTTAAATGAAGCAACAGGTCACATTCATCAAATCTAGCAATTAAAATCACGTAGTCTATCACTGTCCTATAGGTTTAGTAGGAAAGACGCAAAACATTATACTGTGTTAATAAAGTTCATTATTAGATCCTATGCTAAAGTAGTCCAGTCTACCCTTTCATACTTTAGTTCTGTAAGACACATTTTAATGTGGACCATTCATATGGGTCCAACGTGGATTTTAAGCCACAGCAGTAGTCTTCTTAGTTGGTCCACTGTGAGCATAAGATATGGAGCTTATCACATCGTGTGACATGGCTTCATTTACTTATAATCCACGAAAACAATGCCAATTAGCACAAGACATGACCATACGTTTTCGTGTCACAAGGGATCTTTACATTTCTTTTATAAACTTTTTTATACAGCTTTAACAACCAACATTTGAAATCTGTATGTGGGAAAGTCCTTCTGATGTTAAACTATACTCGGTATCTTTCAAATAAAACTGAGTACAAGGCTGTAAAGCATTTTAACAACTGGATTTGAAATGAGAATGAGTAAACTATTTACTCAACAATTAATTAAAATAATCCTTCTTACAGTGAACTTTCAAAGACATATACATATTTATATACACTTAATCAATCTTAATTTAGTGATGCAATGAAATTAAATATTTCTTTAAGATGGCTGTATTCTAGGTTGTTGCTTCATGTAGTCTGGAAGAATTTTAATGACATTTCAGAGGTGCTTGCTGCCTCCATTATCAGGACTCATCACATTGATGATGGAGGCAGAAAACAGCTTTAAAACATCAGTAAACTTCTACCAGACTACATGGAGCAACAACCCAGAAGACAACCATCTTCATACTTGCTGATATAAGAACTTCAAATCTATTTTTTTGTTAGTAACTTTCCTGTACAATTTTGGATTTCACTAAAACAATCAATTCTAAAAGGGTTCGTGTCATTTAATGACATAGGCCTGCTCTAATTTATCCATTAATTTTAAAACCTTATTTTACCATTTTGCCATACTTTTAGCATTGGTGTGGTCTACAGTTATGGTCAGTTGCCTGTAATGTATTTGCATCAGTCTTCTGATACACATAATACAAAAGGCAGGGCACTTAAAATATGTATATTCCAGTAACAAGAATATGGGATGAGGTCTGCTAAATCAGAATTCAGCTGGTAGATGAAGAGCCATCAGTTTGAAACAAATGTTTTCCTGATTTAAAACAGAGCTATTCAAAAGGGTACACAGACGGTGATACACGGAGAGTAATATCTAATATACCTAATATCAATGATAATTCTTCTCCTCTAGAATACTTCAAACTATTCTTCAGAGATTTTTTGGCCACATTATTAGGATTGTCTGTGGAAGACTTTGTGAGTACAATGCCATGGAATGCCTAGCTGTCAGTGATACAATGGATAGTTGGTTTTTAAGCAGTATGTCCCAAAGGAGCAGAAGTTTGGCATAAAAATCTACAAGTTCTGCTATGACAAGAGGGCACAGAGAGCAAAACAGCGTACAAATGCCAATGCTGACCTGACACTTACTACAGATAGTACCATTACGCAGCTTGGAAGAAGAATGGAGGATGTTGGTCACATGCTGTGCATGGATAATTATGGAACTTTACATTGCTGACCTATTTGACGACCTCTACAACAGGAAAATTGCTTGATGTGGCAATATTTAGCGTAACAGAATGAATATTCCAAAATTTTAGAACCAGGGCCCTCATATAGAAGAAATTGGATATTGCACAGAGTACAGTTCATGGCAGTATCATAGCAATATGTTGAAAAGGAGAGGGAGGCACATGACACCCACCTGCAGCTGAGAAGAATTTTTGGGATGAATCTTAAAATGATCTGAAGCTACAAATAGAGCAACATACATGAGCTATGATGATATAAATGACAGGAGGGCTTAACATTATGGCATGTCACAGAAATTCAAGAGAACAAGTTCTTTCTTATTCAGTTATTACAAATTATTTTATAATCCAAAAGCCATAAGGGTTAAAATGACCACTTTGTGATTAAAGGAACAACTTATTTGTGACCTTGCTGTTGCAGCAGAAGAAAGAGCTGTAAATGGAATGGGAATTCAAAGCCCAGTATCATCCTCGTTGTCCAGTCTGGATGAAACACTGGGCAATCAGAGAAAAGGAGGCACAAACTGCGCTCAGGTAACAACAAACAAGCAATGAGTATAGACTCCTGTGAGGTTTGTGATGTTTGGCTGTGCACTGCTAAATAATGAAAACTGTGCCATGCAAAACTGACTGCCACATGGTAGCCCTTCTCATGGGGGAGGAAATTTGGTGTCAGTGCGTTACTTTTACAATTCTTTGTCAGAGGGAGAGAAGAAGTTTAGATGACACACAACCCAAAGTAAATATTACATTAATAAAACCATAACATTTCCAAATGTGAAGATAATGATAACTGAAAATAAAATATATGTAACATTTCTGTAAATGTGAAACAATTTTGTTGAGCAACAGCTTTAGGAACAGTTCCTAAGTAACTTTTTCTGAATAACATGTATTTTATTTCAATATTGTATGTGGATTTTTAAGAAAGACACATTATTTTAGCAAAACATACACAGTGTAGTGAAATAGTTAATTCAGGCCAGCAGGGAAAGTAAGAATTTAAATGCTTGGTACTTTAACCCTTCCCAAGTAATTTTTATTTTGTTTTTAATAATAATATAACACATGCATAAAACTTTTCAAAAGAACCAAAATTAAAAGATAAGTAATGATAGATGAATTAATAAAATCTTCTCGGGCAATCAGCCGCGTTAACTGGTTACCGTAGGAAACCGACGTTTCAGGAACAAACTCTGTCCCCATCTACAGGGTTCTGATGTGACTGGATCCTCAGAAGTTGCCTGTGTTTGTTCCCGAAACGTCGGTTTACTACGGAAACCAGTTAACGCGGCTGATTGCCCGAGAAGATTTTATTGATTGTAATCGCCGCGAAAGTCTCAAATCCTAAATGATAGATGAGTTCTGACTTACAGTTGGTCCATCACCATAAAAAACTCAGTTAGAACTTGATGAAACATTGTTTATTTATGTTACCTAGATGATCAAGAGATTTATCACTTTTTATATACCCTCAGGTTCATTACCATGTTCACATAAGCCCACCAATGGTCCCTATTCCAAGACCCTGCACAACATTTTGTGGAATGCCTGATTTTATGGCAAACCCCCAATCTGAATGTCAACTCGATAGCTGTATGCAGCTGCTTATTCAATATATTCACAGCTAACCAACATATATGAAGGGTTTTCCTCCATCCTCAACCTGAGCACGCCATGCCATGGTGACGAAGGACCCACTCAACATAACCTCACTGCAGTCACTACACACTGAAATGTCTTCATTTTCCATATAAATTTATCACTGCTTATTCACAAATCAGCACAATTACATTGTGTTACACATTTTTGAAAACAAGTTTTATGACTGTAATCAAACTTCATAATGGAATTCTTGATCATCTAACTACGGTCATAAAACTATGCAGTAAAATAATAATGCATTCAGCACATCATGTGATAGTACAAGAACTAACCCTGGTATACATTTACAAGTGCACATGTTTAGAAATTCTTCTGAAGCCCCTGCCTGTGTGATGCAGTACAAAGCACTTCCCTGGGTATAAAAATGGCTTGTGTAAGTTCACTGTACTCACTTCCAGAAACCAAAGAAACATCAGTTAACCCCTCCCATACATTTAGTGTAATCCAACACCACAATTGGTTTTATTATGGTAGGTTTGTTTGGATATATATATAACTTCATTTTTGCCCCCTGAATGAAGAGTAATGGGAATCATGACTGTGCATTTGTCCCTCCAAGTTGAAACAAGTTTGTCATTCTTTGTGAATGGCTACATATCCTGTTGCATAATCTTCTCTATTTTGTTCTATTTCCGAGGCTTTTCTGGATAGCATCACTGTTCCAGTTGTTAACATGTTCATATCCATGTAGCTCATTAGCCAACTGTGGCGAAGTGTAGAACCTGTTGGTATAGACATGATATCCAGAAGGTGGTATGGTGGTTTTACTACTTCAGAAGTGTTCAATAGATCAGGGTTCCCATTTTCAATTTTGCCAGTGTACGACTTGGAGTTTTACATATGTTCACTGGCACTGTTAGATAGTATGAACATTTTCAGTCCAAACTTTGCTAGCTTCATGGGACTGTACGTTTTAAAAGACACCCCCTCCTTGAACGCAACTGTGCTTTCATCAATAGCAACAATGCTGGATGCACTTCAACCTGATTTTGTCCAGTACAAACTTTAGCAGCGTCTCATTTTTTAATTTATCTTCTCTCTCAGCATGTGCAAAATTTAAGTTCCAGAACAAGAGCAGAAACTCATTCCTTGGGAACACATCAGAAAAGAAAGGAATTTTGTTCACCCGTGCTTGAGAGACGTAGTAAGGAATATCAGACATGGGATGCAGGCCCCTGTTTACCGTGACACCAAGCAGTGCTTTTGTATCAGATGGGGTTGGAGGTGACCAGTCTGTGATTCTAGATCTTTTCATGGGGGGCACATTCTGAATTTTCTTTTTGTTTCCATTCAGCGTGGTTTCATGCAGGATAAAATCCAACAAATCCAGATCCAAGAAGAGTACAAAATATTTAACGGGCTAATTTACCCAATGAAAACTTGATGGTACAAATTCTTTATGTTAATACTTTGCACTGGATTTACTGAGCTTTACCAGGGTCTGAATCAGTAACCTGAAGCCACTGTCACTTGTACCACTCTCAATCTCAGTCTCACTGGCATCAGAATCATAAATCACTTATTTCATAATCACTATCTCAAAACCAATATCTCACAAATATTTCATCATCATCACACTCTTGTTCTTGCCATGTTTCACAAATACACAAAGAAATAGAGAGAAAACACAACATATGCAACTCCTCAATGGGGTTGAATTTTCCCTCAGTAACAAACATGACAGTATCGTAAGCTCAGCTCATGAATATCTAAAGCAGAGCAGGAGATGAAATTTCATTCAAGTTTATACATGGAGTTAAAACATCAGTACCCTGGAACATTGATTAAATAGCAAATATAAGGAGGTGATGACATCTTTAAATAGTTGCGTGATTATGACATTTTGTAGAACAATAAAGACAGAATTTGAAATAATTATTTTAAATATTCCCAATTGTCTGCAAATTTCAGGCAGATATTAGTTGAGAACCCACGCTTTAAAGTGGATGTTTTAATCACAAATACATCTCTGACAATCTACAAAACCTTAAAATCGTTTTATATATCCAAGATACTATTCATTTGATTGTATAAACATTTTAAAATTATCACCACATGGTAGGACAAATTATCATTCCATTTGGCCAACAACATATGGTATTTAATGGGACACCACACATGCCTGTTTTCAGACCTGAGCATGGTGTGATAACAAACAACTGAAATTCTTATTTTCAGTGTGATCATATACACACATGAGGTAATATGATGGGTCACAGCACACCATCTTCCTCATATTCTGCTCACTATCTGATTCTGTAAGCCACGTGCAGCGTGGGCCACCTTCCGATTCACAACCATCCTTGAACCTGTGATGCCACTGAAACATCTTTGACTGGGACAAAATATGTCTACCACATACAATTTAAAGAAATATAGAATATCTGTGATTATTTTTTCCAGTCAATGGCAAAATGTTGTTTGTACATGACATGTGTGAGCTCGTTGCATCATTCCTGCACATTGCTGTATTTGATTCCATCCTGGGGCTTGTCGAAGCTAACATACGCAGGAAACGCATGAAACCTTGCTGTAGAAATTACATCATCATTGGCAGAGATGTAACCAAGAAAAAATGTGATTTGAATGTGAGCAGTTTGGAACTGAGACTTGAAACATGCAAACCTCAGGAGCAATGTAATCTGGTGTCCCACAGAATGTCTTAGTTGTCTTATCACCATTGATGCCTTCCTTACACATCCCAAAGTCTGCTATTTTAATATGTCCATCTTGATCCAATAATACATTATCTAATTTCAGGTCTCGGTAAACAATCCCTCGAGCATGAAGGTAGAACAGTCCAATTGCAATCTCAGCAGAGTAGAACCTGCAAACATTTGTGACACTAAGTAATTATATTATGATATGCATAACGCATGATGAAGTGACAAGGATCATTTTTATCTGGTAGGTACCACAGAGAGGGTACATTTGCCTTGTATGTGAAGATGGAAACAAACCAAGCCTGAAACACCATAACCTTTTATGTAATGGATAATGCCCAAAGAAAGTTCTCCTAAGATGATTTTCAGAGTAGTTACAGTTATATAGCGCACACACCTTGAAAAGAATGGATGCCACAGATGCTTTTTCTAGGATAAAGAAAACCAGAGTGTAAATCTTCCTGCTCAAAAAAAGGACTGAAGAACCTTATGTCCATGTCCCTTAATGTGGATGGCTTTGTCTACACAAATCAGCAACATATTTTGTCTAAACCTTAATTGAATATATAGCTCAATGGGAATAAAATAATGCAGTATTAATCACTGTACTTACACTGCTACAGGTTCCTTGAATTTACCACACTGTTGGATCTGGAACATGAGGTCTCCACCATTTACATACTCCATCACAAAGTAGAGTCGGTCCTACAGCAGAACATGAGATAAAAAGTACAGGGCTATTAAAAATGAAGAAACCACTTTTAACAACCATACCACTATTACTAGTGGATTTATTTAATATTTCTGAAACAGTTTCCCAGACTTTCCCAGCATTTAAGATGCTTTCTACAAGGGAAATGGGACAAATTAATACTGACATTTAAATGGTTGCCCAATTACATGTTTTGCAATGGCTATAAGGGAAGGAACAAAAACAGCTCTGTCTGTTTTATTGTAAAAGAATAAATGGCAAGTTTTTTTATTTTCTTCTTCTTCTTCTTCTGAAGAACATAAAATATTGTTACAATCACCAGATGCAAGACAGAGACTTACCATGGTCTGGAAACATGAATGAAGCTGCACAAGAAATGGTGGTTTACTAGAAAGGGCAAGCACTCGCTTCTCCACCATAGTGCACTCAACATCATCATCCTGTATGATTATATCCTTCTTGAGAATCTTGATGGCATACAGTTCATCTGTTCCTTTTCTCTCAGCAAGCATCACCTTTGAGCAGAAGTGTAAATTAATAAAATAAAAGAGCATTCTATGAAGAACGGATGCCATTCAAATACCTCAAAGTGGTTTAGCCAACAAAACCTATAATCAGTAATAATAAGTTTAGTGAACTTTATATGTGTATGATTTCCGCTATAACAGATTTCCTCTACATTCAATTTGTCAGATGTAACCTCAAAATTCGCACTGTCACATTATTAACATAAAAGAACAACATTTGTTGGTATCTTTATGATTTATGAACATCAGGGCCAAGTGGTTCATATTCAGAGGACCTGTTTTTGAATCTAGGCAAAGAGACTAGATATCCTGAAAGGTTTCAGAGATTTTCATATTTCCTCATGGAAAAGCTTAAATAATATTAGGCGACAACCACGTCCTTCCATATCCTTTCCAATTCATTATTTATTAAATATCCTCTCATAAGGACCATTGCCTGGGAATGGGTTTTTTAGTGAAAAAACATCTTCAGCGAGCAGTTAAGAAAGTAGAATTTGTTAATGACAGGCTGTCATATTGAATCCTTCATGGTCGATGGTGCGATATTATTATTGTAAATGTTCATGTGCCAACTGAAGATAAAGATGATAAGGTGAAGGATATTTTTTATGGAGAATTAGAGCATCTATTTGATCAGTTTAGTAGGTACCACATGAAAATTCTGCTAGGAGACTTCACTGCCAAAATTCATCAGGAGGATATTTTCAAACCAACTATAGGGAGTGAGAGTTTACATGAATTTAGTAATGACAATGGGGTGAGATTAGTGAACTTTGCCACATTCATAAGTCTGATCGCCAAAAGCACAACATTCCCACATCTTGATATCCATAAGCACACTTGGACTTCCCCTGAAGGGATGACCCATAATCAAATTGATCATGTTCTAATCGATCAGAAGAGACAATCAAACATTGTAGGTGTGCGATCCTATAGGGGAGTGGACTGTGATATTGACCATTATTTAGTAGTCAGCCAAGTTTCTTGAGGGAGTTTCAGTCTTCCTAAAGCCTGAGTGATCTAACCATATACAGTAGAACTCTGGGGTTTCCATACCAACAAGGGCAAGGTACAGGACAGCAGAGCTATCTGTAAAGCCCAGTAGTGAGGCAAGCCAAAGGGAAAAGACCTGGAGGAAGACAGCTACTTGGGAAAAACCTGGAGTGGAAACCCACAGGGGCAAACATACCTGTGCATGTGTAAACTTCTGAGTTTGCTTCACACCTTGGCATTTCTTGATAAATTACAGGGTGATTGTGAATGGTAAGTTTGCAGTGATATGAAAGAAAAAGTAATGTCCTACTTGAAAGTGTAGACTGTGTAAAAAAATGTTTAAAACGGTATACAAAATTTCCAAATCTGACAGTATAATATCAAATACTTCATATAGCCACTAATAGATGGAAGCACTACCCTTTCAGCTAAAAGTCATGACAAGGAGATGGACAGGACATGCCCATAACAGGGAGCACACAAACTAATATTTGAAACAGTGGCTAACATGTTAGCAGTATTACAACTTCTGTGTTCAATTCCAACTGGGTGAATTACACCTCATGGTTGCAAGACTAGTAGGATATTCTCCACCCAGCCACGTCCATGTGCAGAGTGGGCAAATTGGGCAGCAATGCAGGAGCCCCAGGGTCTTAGCTGGGCCCACCCTACATACCAAGGGCAGACAATCATGAACAGAATTTGACTCCTGACCTTCGCAAATGTGTTTAGCCCACTAGCCTAATACTAAAAAGCTCCTTGATTTAATCCTGTTTTAACTGAACTTTTAGTTTTGTAAATGGTTCAAGTGACAGATTTGCATGGGGTCAATGATATTTGCATTGGCGGGGAGTATTGTGCTTGTCTAGGTGGCGTTGATGTCATCCTCCCTGATGATGTAATAAAGAAGAATAACACATCCAATGGATGTGACATCAAATACTTCATACGGCCACTGACAGCAATATAATTCACTGAAAGATGAAACAGACAGATGGGCGGGATGCATCCATAAGACATTCTTTGCTAATGATAAAGCATAAAAAAGCCAAAAATACTTCAGTCAGGACACTAGACTATGAATGAAACCTGGAGAAGCAGAGACAAAATTCCACACTTTCTTACTGTAGCACTAGAAAGCAAGCTGTCAGCTTCATGCACCAGTCACTCTACTGCCTGGAAAAGAGCCCCTGGTGCACAAAGAATATGATGACTGGTGGGCCGCAGAACCAGTCTGGATGTGGCATGAAGAGAAATAACCCTGTCCCTGGTACAAATCAAAACTCGGTCACCCAGTCTACAGCCAGTAACTTATCTGACTAAGCTCACCTTACTCTCATCTATTTATAACAGAGGTCTTAATATTTTCACTGCGACATCTGTGAATTTTGATGTGACTCCACCAGTGCTTAAATATTTTCAGTGACTATTTCACTTTTGCTACCAAACGAAGAAGTCGAATACTCAGATTCACCATCAGTGTTCTTAAATCCGATATCTGAACCCAATTCTTCAAGGAATTATAAAATATATTCATACTGAAGAAGTTTCAAATGTTTTATAACTGCCATGATGCAAGCATCTGTTTGATGAAAACAGATGCATATTTATAAAATATACTGCAGATAAAAGATGGCATAAGCTTAAGTATAACTATGAGCAGATGCAAAATGCGAACTGTAACTAGTAAACTGCAGAATGGGTACACTTCATCACTGCAGCACAAAGAATATTTCTCACCTTTCCAAAGCTGCCCTTGCCAAGCACCATGAGGAAGTTGAAATCAGATGCACGAATGACATCTTTCTTGCCCATGTTGTGTGGTACATCCTTGTCTGACACAAGTGGGGCCCTTTTTGTAATTGAGGTCTTCTAGAATCACAAATAAGCTGAGTGTTATCACCGTCATATAGAGGAAAAGAACACGTTAGTAAAGTAATTTAAGAATGCTGAAAAATTTATTTCCAAAATTGGAATAAAACGCTATTAACCCACTGGCATAATATTTCACTTTGTTTGTTCAAAGAATATCCAGAAAATTAAAACACATACTAAAGAAAATACTACTGAAATTATCACAAACCTTCAATATTGCCGAAAAGTAACTTACTTTGACTTTCATGTGGCGTTTCAAAGCTGTCAAAATACCCCATGTTTAAGAGCTGCCAAAGGATTCAATCTGTCACAGTATCATTAAAATATAAAGAGGGGTGTGAATATAAAACTATTTTGATACTAATAATCATGAAAATAATGTATTTATTTTATTTATAGAGAACTCGCATATCTGTTGCATTACACAAACTCAATTACTGTTTCGTGGACTTTAACTGAAAAACTGAAAATACTAAATGTTAAACAAAAAGAAATATCTAAAGTGGTCTGTTGAAAGAAGTGAACACTAGAGACACATACTAGCACGTACAACCTTCAGTCAAATGAAAGCATTAAGAGGAACAAAAGATATGAATTACCTATTTTAAAAGTTGTTAAACTTGTTCATCTTCATCCAAGCAAAGGGCATAAATTGAGAATATTTTCCATCAACATTAATATGAATATCAAATATTTGTTAAATATAATTTATTCAATATAAGATAAAGATGTGAATGAATTAAACCAAGAATAATTTGGTTTCAAAAATACTGTTCAGTTCCTTTTCACAATGCTAGATAATCAAGTGTAAGGTACAAAGAATAAGTAATATATGTGTTCTTTTCTATGAGACTTGTAGTTCCTAAGTACAGCACTTTGTCAAAATGATACAGTTACCATAACACAACAGTGTAATAGTTACATGGTTATATGCTGGGCTTATTAACTAGTATAAATATGAAAATTAATTTCAGTTAATTATTTAGAGTTTAAACCAGGGTCAAAGAGAGTCTGGCGTCAGGCCAGATCAGTGCAGCCCGGAAGGTCTCAGAATTTATATTAATGTAATGAATACCTTCTGTGAATCTCAAAATATAGATTCTGTGAATAACTATTTATGTTGGAAGAAAATATAATGGATTATCTGTGATTACATGTGGGTTATTTTGAAATGAAAGATCAGTTTATTCACTCACACTATTTGCGATGAATCAACAGAAATTGTACTCATTACATTTCTTGGATAAGAAATAACCATTATATGCTTTTGCAGCAATAACACTTTTGTTTTTGCTATTATTCAATAAATTTGTTTGACAAAAGATGTAAACTACAATTGGCATGCACTTTTCCTTTACAGTCAAAAAGAAAAATAAGCGTGAATATTACAAAATCCTATAAACTTCTGAGTAAATGTTCAATAGCTATGGTTCAGTGTTCTATATAGAAGAAAAATATTAAAACACCACTCTTACTTAATTTACATAAATCTTAATTAAAATGTGACACATCAGAATGCCTCCCACACTTAGCTACCAAGCAAGCACGCATGTGCAGAACAATGTCTTGAGACACTAAAAATCATACAATAACTTGCACCACAGTCCTGATGATCATGCAGTCAGAGCTCAACCAACCAAGGTCAGTCAGGCTTTTCAATCAGTACCGTATATTTCATCTTGTGAGTGCACCAACTTTCCAGGACAAATTACCAAAGCATGTGGTGTTGGGCATTTATGGGAGAGATGGCTAATCTGAGGAAATCTAAGTGGAATAAACATTTAATAATACACTGTGATAACAGTAATGAACTGTCTGCTGATATGAATGGCTACCTGCTATTCTTAGCATTACAATGTATCAAGTTTAAGAGGAGGTAATGCATAACATCAGAATCAGAATCTTATAAGTGCCTTTCTCTATGCAAAATAAACACACACTCACCTGCCATCTTGTTTAATTCCAACTTCAGATGTGTAAGCTAAAGTATCTTGTGTCACTGTAACATGGGTACTGTACTATGTCTCTGTAATTTTGTGATACTTAGGAAATTCATTTCAGAGGGTAACAATGTAAATGGTGATTATTTTTGGGCAACTATTACATTTTGGCTGTATTAGAAATGTATAATTCATGATTACGGGATCACAGACATTACCCGCTAGACAATGCTTATTGTACGAATTATTTGAAAAGTTTCAAATCAGACTTTAAACATACAGAATCCTACTTATGAAACAATAAATTATTTGGAAAACAACCCCCCCCCCCCCCCCAAATACTAAATGGAACTTCAAATATTAATATCTGTCATGACAGGCTCCATGTATGCAACATCTACATCAGTTTCATTTGTCAATAATTATATTACATAAAATCAGCATAGCATAGCTGCCTAGTAAGGTGACCACTTTAATGGAATGCAAATGCTTTAAACTCGAGAAGACAGCATGAAATTCATAAATATCAGTGATTCCTGTTTTGGCTTATAAATGTACAAGTTATTTGAATAAAATTTAATACATAATTACTGATTATATTGTTAAAAATAATATTAGTAGTAACAATATTTGTAATGAAATTAGTATCTCCTTACAAACTGCAGAACTCCACTGAGTGGATATGTTAGGGTGCAATTTCAGGTTTCCACAGTTCCAAGTATGAAGATGACAGCCTTCTGGGATACTGCAACATATAGTCACATAAACATTGACATTTCAGAGATTCTTAGTGCATCCATCATTAAGGTACTGATTGATGATCACCTTGATAAAAGCACTAAGCGTCCCTAAAACATCGATCACCTTCTACAAAACTACATGATGCATTATCTCAGAAGGCTCTCCCTCCTCTTTGGATATTATAGAGTGCTATGTCCAGTCTGCTGGATATGAAAGAGTTCTATCAACCTAGTCTATTCTACTGAGTAACTTAAAAAAGACCCAGCCAAACTTCAGCAACTACAGAATTTACAGTTATTACTGCTACATCTTGAGAACATACTGAGATGCATCCAAGTAGTCATACTCTACATCAGTTTCTTAATAGATCCACCAAGACCAGCTATATACATGTGCAGAATCCTTGAACAATTTTACTTAAACAATTACATATTAACTACTGACAATATACAATGAAATAAAATCTCTAATTTTTGCTTAGATGTAGCTAACCCACCAAGGTATTTGGCCAGGTACATATGCACCAGAGAAGTGAACTGTTTCACAGCTCTAGTACTAAGATTCCTGTCTTCTGGGTTGTTGCGCTGCGTAGTCTGGTTGATGTTAGCCACCGTTTCAGAGGTCATACTGCCTCCATCATCAGCTGATGACGGAGGCAGTATGACCTCTGAAACGTTGGTAAACATCAACCAGATTACGCAGCGCAACAACCCAGAAGACAGAAATCTTCATACTCGCCGCTGTGAAAACCTAGAAGTTTACAGACGTTTCGGAGGTCATACTGCCTCCATCATCAGCTGATGACGGAGGCAGTATGACCTCTGAAACGTTGGTAAACATCAACCAGATTACGCAGCGCAACAACCCAGAAGACAGAAATCTTCATACTCGCCGCTGTGAAAACCTAGAAGTTTACAGACGTTTCGGAGGTCATACTGCCTCCATCATCAGCTGATGACGGAGGCAGTATGACCTCTGAAACGTTGGTAAACATCAACCAGATTACGCAGCGCAACAACCCAGAAGACAGGAATCTTCATACTCACCGCTGTGAAAACCTCAATCTTACACAGCTCTAGTACTGCATGTACTGGTGTGAAAAACAGAGGCAGAGAATATGCCTCTTTAACACAGCCAGTTCATGCGGTCTTCATTAAGCTGTACTTCGGGCAAGCTGACATGTGTGTTGCATGTCTCACAAGTATTTTTCCTTTATGTTAGAATCTTGTGACTGTGGTAAATTAGTCTGGTTGTCTTTTTAGCATTTTAACAGCTGTTTTTTAATGGACATTTAGTTTGTGTGAAGTTGGTGGAAGTTTTGTTCAATTTTTATTAAAAAATCCATTTTCAAGGAGAAATTTAATGGAAAAACTGAAGGTGATAGAAGCTGGGAGATCAGCTTTATCCAACCTTATGAGTGAACGAATGTTAATGGGGGAGGCGCTGAACTGACCCTTGCATTATAACCATTTTTAATTGATCTTTTGTTCATTTCTGTTCTTTTAATCCACAAGTTACCCCAAACTTATAGCAAAGAATGGTATCCTACCTAGTGTGATCTAATAAGACACCTGGTCTCACAAAATTCCTGCCCAGATGATAAAATTGTAATTCAGCTAAGGCCTCACAATCACATAGGATATGTGAGGCTGTTTTTTGTTTGACGGTGGCACTTATACTAGTGTGGCTATTAAATTTCCCCAAGTTGAAGAGGTGTCCCTCTAAGCAAGTGTCCTGTCACCTGTGTTGCTTGGAGCCTACTGAGCTCTAATGGGATGGTACGTAAAGTAAAAAGTAAAGTTTGTCCCACTATACGCCATGTAGGCATTTGGGGTGAGTGGAGGTATAGCTCCTCTCTTCCTTGACCTCGGCACTAGATGGGGGTGAGTGGTCAGGATCACGCCCCGGCCGGCTTTACCCCCGGGAAAGGACCCCGGTACCCATTGTAGAGGAGGCTGGGTGGGCCCCAGAGCCGGTCTGGACGCAGAGGCTTGAGGAAAAATCCTATGCCCCAGTCGGGGATCGAACCACGGTCGTCCAGCCCGTAGCTAGTCACTATACTGACTGAGCTTCTAATGGGATGGTGCATTACAAAATTAAGAGTATACATAATAACAAAAATAATAATTACACTAAGTATTTTCAGGTTTTAAATAAACCAATTATTTTGCTAACCATGCTGTTTTCATAAAGTGTTAATGCTTGGAGTTTGGAGGGATCTGACAACCTCAACCTCATATTTACCACACACACACACACAAATCTTAAGCAAATCACCTGCTGTGCATAATGGACCTTCTGCAGTTCAGTCACCAA